CGCCGGCCTCCTTCGACCTCGTTATTTATCAGGGAAAAAATTCGCCGGCCTCCCTCAAGCAGGCACCGGGGGACAGGTTTACCTACTAAAAGAGAACCCTGGGCCCCAGCCCTTTCCGGGAAAAATGAAAAACGAAGACGCAAATCCACGCTGAATTCACTCTTAGCACCGGCGAAACCAATTCGTGCATGCTTCAAAGTTATCAAAGGGTTCTCTTCCAACGGAGCAGCTCCGTGCATGGAAATGAACCGCTGTAGGGGCTTATGAAGAGGGAACTCGGAGGGAGGGTCACTTCCAACATCGCTGATGACTCTCGGGTTTGCACTGGTCCGCCTCCTCCTCCTATTCCAACTCCTCCTCTTCCTCCTCCTCCTCCTCCTCCTCCTCCCCTCGCCCATTGGCAGACCCCCGGGATGGCCCGAACACGTCCTCCAAGGCCGCCCCATTGCTCCCAAATATCTCTCTGATCATCCTGGTTGCCCGCCCTATTCTGCTCGTTCAATTTCCTGTCAGCTCTGATGGGCAAGGTTTCTGCCAAGACTGGTGGGGGCACGCGAAACGTCAACAACTTAAAACAAATGTGTGCGGCGCAAAAGGCGGGAACCACATTTCGAAATGGAGGCGCCCTCCATCCGTCAAATTCTTTCAAACAGTGGCAGTGTTCGCAAGACGCCTGATTGGGCGACGGGCAATTGCAATGCTGAGTGTATCGATCTTGACATACCGTGCCCATGGCTGTTCTGTGCTGCGTCGTGCTGAATTGCGATGTGGACCGGGTCCTCCTATAGCGTCGCGATTGCGTCGGAATTGCGCAGCGATTGCGCTTTATAGCATTATGGATCGGGTCCTCCTTTGCATCCGAGTCCTGACCGAACTGATGTAATGTTTTTCTTTCTTGTGACCCCTCCCAACTCTCGAGGGCCAAATGACCACACGTTAGAGTGGTCGGGACACGTGAAAACACGTGGGTCCTGCGAAGCAAGCGTGAACAATAAACGTGGGTGCCTTTTGCCCCTGAGCGGAAGGAGCACGCGTGAAAACACGTCGGCCCCTTTCGCGCCAGAACGGAACAAACGTGAAAACACTTGGGTCCCTTTCGCGCCAGAGCGGTACAACCGTGCAAACACGAGTCGAGGGTCCTTTTCGCGCCAGAGCGGAACAAGCGTGAAAACACGTGGGTCACTTTCGCATGAGCGGAAGAAGCGTGAAGACACGAAGGGCGCCCCCCCGTCTCGCCTCTGAGCGGAACAAACGTGAAACACACATAGGTCCCTGTCGCGCCAGAGCGGAACAAGCGTGACAACACGTGGGACCCATTCGCGCAAGAGCGGAACAAGCGTGCAACACACATGGGTTCCTTTGGCCCAAAGCGGAACAATCGTGGGTGTCTTTTCGCCCCTTAGCGGAACCAGCGAGAAAACGCATGGGTCCCTTCTGCGCCAAAGCGGAGCAAACGTGAAAACACGTGGGACCCATTCGCGCAGAGCGGAACACATATGAAGCCACGTGGGTCCCTTTCGCGCCAGAGCGGACGAAGAAGAAACGTGAAAACACATGTGTCCATGTCGCCCCAGAGCGGAGCAAACGTGAAATCACGTGGGTCCCTCTCGCCCCCGAGCGGAAGAAATGTGAGAATACGTGGGCCCCTTTTCGCCCCTGAGCGGAACAAGCGTGAAAACACATGGCTACAGCTCGGGGCACCGATGCTAGATACCTCGTTGGGTGGCCTGGGCACGTAAAAACACGTGCTCCCAGCGAGGGGCCTCCATTTTAGATACCCCTCTGGGCGGCCTGGGCGCGTGAAAACATGTGGTTCCAATGAGGGCCAAATATCAACCATCTGAGATACCCCCCTGGGCGGCCTGGACACGTGAAAACATGTGGCTCCATCTGAATAACCATAACCATATTAAATGTTGGCTCAACCCTCTGGGCGATCTACATCAGAATCCTGGCCTCCGCTCGAACCATCCCCCAACTCTGCAAACCCAACGTTTCACCTGAGACACCATCAACACAAGTATGCCGCTTCGCTAGGAACATCCTTAACTTTTAACTCGCTGGCCCTACTCGGCCCCATTATCCATCGCAGAATAATTCCGCCGGCCTCCTTCAAGTCGAAGCCAGAGGCAACATCACCAAAAGAGAACCCTGGGCCCCAACAGTTTCAGGGACAATAGGCACAGGTGGAGGGAGGGAAGGAGGGACGACGACCCCTACACCTACTGCCCACTCCTCTCCCCGGCGGAGACAGGGGGCGCGCGGGGGTGGCGGCGAGAGAGGGCGGAAGCAGCGACCTCGGACCAATGGAGAGCTTGTTCCATAACCAGCTGGTCGAGAAGGAGCGCATCTCCCTCGACCTCAGGTGAGATGAGACGATGATGGTGGGACTGGGGGGACATCGACCTGGCATCGGCGATACGTCGCCAATAGGCCCCGACGGCGAATCTGCACGGTCGTGGGCAGGGCGGGTTTTCGGGCCTCGCCGAGTGGGCACAGGGTGGGGACCACTGGGTCGACCAGAGCTGTGCAGCCCAGCACTGCACATCGCGCCACAATTCCTGCGATGCGCGACCAGCTTTGCGCCATCGCGCCTTCGCGTCGCCCCGTGGGCTTTGGAAACAGGCCATCGCTGCACTGGCTCCAACCGCGAAGCGATATTACCTTCAAGTCGGGCCTGTCCCCCTACAGGAGGACTATTCATAAATAGTCAAAAATAGTCTGGGGACGATGTTTTTTTTTTTTTTTTTTTTTTGAAAATATGTTTGAATATCTTGTTCGGAGCATTTTGGGGGGAATTTTGCATTTGTCGTCCAAAATCCGCCTGTAGGGGGACGTGCCCGATCCAATACTACCTTCGCTTCCTCGTGGGTGCCCAGGGCAGCGTGGCGCTCCGCTCCGCTCGACGGGGAAATGGGGAACGGCCCGGCGCGAGGTACACAGGTCAAATGCCTGGCTGACGCAGCAGAGCAGGGCGGACAACGAGAGCAGGAAAAGAAGCGGGCCCCAAAGGGCCCAGGCGATCTGCGAGGAGGGGACGAACGACCGAACACACGCCCCCCCCGCTCCTCCCGCTCCTCCTGCGTCCTGTTTCCGGGTGGCCTGAGGGATACACGATCGCGGCCTCTATCGCGCCTCCCCCTTCTCGCCCTTCTTATCCTCATCCGTCGCCTCTTCTTCATCCTCGTCCTCCTCGTCCTCCTCCTCCTCTTCCTCCTGTCTCCCATCCTCTCTCCCCTCCTCCTCCTCCTACCGCCTCTTCTTCGTCCTCGTCCTCCTTGTCCTCCTCGTCCTCCTCCTACCTCCTCTCTCCCCTCCTCCTGCCGACCTGCTCCATCTTCCCTGGCAGCAGAATCCTCACACAACTCAGCTGGGCATCGAGCTCGAGCCTTCTGGACGAATTTCTCGCCAAGAGCTGAGAACAGTCGGGACCATCTCAAAGGATTGTGCTCCGCAACAGGGCGAAATGACAAGGGCGGGTCCAAACAGAGGCGACATGCATTGAGAGGGGGCGAGCCGAAACGCCGACGACAACAACGGCGGCGGACGGCGACGACCGCGACTGCGGTTCCAGCTCGGGACCACTATGTTAGATATCCACCAAGGTGGCCCCGACATGTGAAAGCACGTGGCTCCAGCTCGGGATCGCCGAGTCAGATACCCCAGTGGGAAATCTTGAGAATCAGATGTGAAAGCACATGGTCCCAGCTAGGGGCCACCATGTTTGAAACCCTTCTGGGTGTCCAGGACACGTGATAACACGTGGCTCCATCTAGGGACAACCATGTTAGATACCCCCTCTGAGCGACCTGGGAACGTGAAAACAAGCGTTTCGCCTGAGACAGTATCCGAATTCTTGGCCCCAGAAGAAGAGCACTCTACAAGATAAAACAAGCGTTTGATGCGAGACACAAACGTCTCGCTCAAGACATCCGCAACAAACTAAAATGTACACGTCACCCTGTGTTTTACCGATCGAGATTTCAGAAAACCAGCGTTTCGCCCAGGACATCCTCCACTTATCAATTCGCCAACCCTGCGCGACCTCGTTATGGATCGCAGAATTGCTTCGTCGGACCTGCGCTGGTCGAGTCCTGGGGGCAGCGGAACGCAACTAAAAGAGAACCCTGGACCAGCGCCCGTTCCAAGAACATGATGGACCCACGAACCCGGAAAGGGATATAGACATGTGGAGCATGGACACGTTTTCATGATACCCAACTGGGCAACACCTCACGAAACATCCCACGAGACACCTCACGAAACAGCCCACGAGACACCTCACGAAACATTCCACGAGACACCTCACGAAACATTTCACGAGACACCCCGCGAAACATTCCACGAGACACCCCACGAAACATTCCACGACGACAGGCAACCACTCAACCAAGGCGGTGTGGTCGTGCTGGGGAGTGGTCGTGCTGGGGTGTGGTCGTGCTGGGGGGTGGTCGTGCTGGGGGGTGGTCGTGCTGGGGGTGTGGTCGTGCTGGGGGGTGGTCGTGCTGGGGCGTGGTCGTGCTGGGGCGTGGTCGTGCTGGGGCGTGGTCGTGCTGGGGCGGGTCGTGCTGGGGCGTGGTCGTGCGGGGGTGTGGTCGTGCTGTGGTAAGGTCGTGCTGGGGTGCGGTCGTGCTGGGGTGTGGTCTTGCTGGGGTGGGGTCGTGCTGGGGTGTGATCGTGCTGGGGTGGGGTCGTGCTGGGTGTGGCGTGCTGGGGTGTGGTCGTGCTAGGTGGGTCGTGCTGGGTGGGGTCGTGCTGGGAGGGTTTAGTTTCGTTGGGTGTGTCGTGCTGGGTGTGGTCAATCGGGTCGTGCTGGGGTGTGGTCGTGCTGGGGTGTGGTCGTGCTGCTGGGTGTGGTCGTGCTGGGTGTGGTCGTGCTGGGGTGTGGTCGTGCTGGGGAGTGGTCGTGCTGGGGTGTGGTCGTGCTGGGGGTGTGGTCGTGCTGGGGGGTGGTCGTGCTGGGGGGTGTCGTGCTGGGGCGTGGTCGTGCTGGGGCGTGGTCGTGCTGGGGCGTGGTCGTGCTGGGGCGTGGTCGTGCTGGGGTGTGGTCGTGCTGTGGTGTGGTCGTGCTGGGGTGTGGTCTTGCTGGGGTAGGGTCGTGCTGGGGTCGGGTCGTGCTGGGGTGTGGTCGTGCTGGGGTATGGTCGTGCTGGGGTGGGGTCGTGCTGGGGTGGGGTCGTGCTGGGGTCTGGTCGTGCTGGGGTGTGGTCGTGCTGGGGTATGGTCGTGCTAGGGTGGGGTCGTGCATTTCGCTCGAGACATCCTGCCAAAATTCCAGGAAATCGTACAAAAACAAACAAATTAGTCGAAACATCATCGAAATTCCTTCGCGCGGGGCGCTTTTCCGCGTCGCGGTCGGCTCTGCAAAACAAGCGTTTCGCTCGAGACATCCTCGGCAAACTCTGCGGAGCAAGCGTTTCGCTCGAGACATCCTCAACACACGAAAAAGTGGCCCGCACCCTGTGATTTATCGATCGGGATTTCAAAAACAAGCGTTTCGCTCGAGACATCCTCAAATTTTAATTCGCCGGCCTCCTTCGACCTCGTTATTTATCAGGGAAAAAATTCGCCGGCCTCCCTCAAGTTGGCACCGGGGGACAGGTTTACCTACTAAAAGAGAACCCTGGGCTCAGGCCCTTTCCGGGAAAAAAGCCAGAGGACCTCGAGCAACCACACGACACTCATCGATGTAGGTCGGGCGTGTTCACCCTACAGGCGGAATTTGGATGAAGCATAAAAAATACTCCAAACATGCACCAACCATATTGTTAAGCATCGTCCCCAGACTATGTGTTTTGTTTGCTATGTTTGAGCATACCTCCTGTAGAGGGACAGGTCCGACTTACTCATAGATCCCTTGAGCCCTCCCGGAGCATCCTCTCCCTCCTCTCCCGCAGTCTGTGTCTTGGTGCTGGCGTCCTGCCCAGGGTCCCCAGCAGGGCCGAGGGAGCTCGCACGAGGCCGAGGATGGTTCGGATCCGCAGTTGCATCACCCCTGACTTCTACTCCTTCCTCCCAGCTCCTCCTCCTCCTCCTCCTCCTCCTCCTCTTTTTCCTCCTCCTCCTCCTCCTGCTGCCCTCCTCCTCCCTCTCAGAATGCGTCGAACCTCCTCCTCCTGCCCCCCTCCTCCTCCCTTCCCGAAAGCGGCCACCCCGCTCGATCCACGATCCTCGAATATCGAACCTCGATCCCTCTCCTTTCTCCCTCCTCACTCCTGGTCGGTGGCAACTGGGAGCCTTCCCATGACATCCTGCTGGCTCTTGCGAATCGACGCTATCCGACGCTGATCGACGCTAATCGCAGCTGACTCGAAGCTTATCGACAATACATCGACGCTTTCTCATCGACTACCAGACGCCAACGCACGCTGGCGAACTCCAACAACAGAGCTGCGACGACGCACGAGGCTCCCGTGACCTGCAGCCGAGGAGGCGAAAGGGGAGACGTAGGAGGATATGGATGAGGAGGAGGAGGAGGAGGCGGAGGAGGAGGCGGAGGAGGAGGCGGAGGAGGAGGAGGAGGAGGAGGAGGAGGAGGCGGAGGAGGAGGCGGAGGAGGCGGAGGCGGGAGGAGGTGGGAGGAGGGGGGCCGCGGGAGGCGGAGCCCCCCGATCGCCCCCGCGGGCGCGCCGCGTGCCGCTCGGCCCCGGGCGCGCGGGTCTGGCAGTGGCTGCCTTCGCCGCAGTACCCCAGGTTGCCTCGCTGGGCGGGGGGGGGGGGGGGCATCGGCCGGGCGGCAGGAGGAGGAGGAGGAGGAGGAGGAGGACCCCCTCCCCCTCCAACTTTATGGTGGTGGTGGTTGCCTCGCTGGGCGCGGGGATCGGGTCGGGTGAAAGGAGGGGATAGCCGAGGGGAGGGTTGAGAATCAGCTCCCGAGGGGAGCATCGGCCGGGCGCGTCCAGAAGGGGGGGCCGGGGGCGTACAATCTTGTTTGCTCGGCAGGCCTCAGAACTGTTGCGTCTCGTGTCGCGGAGGAGGAGGCCCCAGCGACACGCCACGCCCTGCGAGCGCACAGCGTGTCGCTGCGCTCCCAGGGGCGGGAGGCTGGGAAAGGCGCGGGGCATCGACGCCCAGGGACTGGGACGTGGACAGCGTTTCGATCGAAAGCGTGGTGGGCCAGAACCGGCGGTGTGACACTTGTGTTCCCTTAAGAGATGCACCTGCGGACAGCCACGGCCATCTCACACGTCAGACTGCATTGCGCGGCTACTCGCGGTCAGCCCTCCGGGCGCAGGCGTTCTAACGAAGGCTTTCTCTCCTATTCCAAGAGCCCCCTCTTCCCCTTCGGGGAAGGGTTTACCCCTCCCTCTACTCCCTCCCTGGACTTGGACGGGGGGAGTCGCGAGGTGTCAGAGGGTCCTTTTTGCTGCAAGATGGCTCCAAGAGGGCCCCAGAGAGCCCAAGATGGCCTCCAAGATCGCTCAAGAGAGCCCATCATGGCTCACATGAGCTAGCAGCATGCCTCGAAGAAGCGCCAAGAGGGTCACAAGACGGATCCGAGTGCTTTTGGAGACCCCTCAGGACCTCCGAGAGAAGCCAGCATCCTTCAAATTCCGAAATGAAGTCGATGATTGTGGCCTTCTTGCCTCTTCGCTTCCGATGCGCTTCGTGGCCTCAAGATGGCCCCAAGATGGCCCAAGAGAACACAAAGAGGGGCCCGAGAGGCTCCCAAGACGGCCCCAAGAGCGCCCAAGATCGCCCCAAGAGCGCCCCAAGACGGCCCCCAGAGGCGATTTCGAAGGCTCTTAGGGGGGGGGGGCCTAGATAAGCTACCCCCCTCTTTTGATCGATGGCCTCCAAGATGGCCCCAGGAGGCCCTCCGAAGCTCCCAGGCGAGCCTCAAGAGAGCCCCAAGAGGGCCCCAAGAGGGCGCCGGGACGCTCCAAAAGAGCCCCAAGAGGACCCTTAGATCCCCCAAAGAGCCCCTAAGGGGGCCCAAAGATACCCCAAAAGAACACCCAACATGATGGACCCACGAACCCGGAAAGGGATATAGACATGTGCAGCATGGTCACGTTTTCACGATATCCAACTGGGCGACACCTCACGAAACATCCCACGAGACACCCCGCGAAACATCCCAGGAGACACCTCACGAAACAACCCACGAGACACCTCACGAAACATTCCACGAGACACCCCGTGAAACATTCCACGAGACACCCCACGAACAGGCAACCACTCAACCAGACACCCCACGAAACATTCCACGGGGGTGCGACTGGGGTGTGGTCGTGCTGGGGTGTGGTCGTGCTGGGGTGTGGTCGTGCTGGGGTGTGGTCGTGCTGGGGTGTGGTCGTGCTGGGGGGTGGTCGTGCTGGGGGGTGGTCGTGCTGGGGGGTGGTCGTGCTGGGGCGTGGTCGTGCTGGGGCGTGGTCGTGCTGGGGCGTGGTCGTGCTGGGGTGTGGTCGTGCTGTGGTGAGGTCGTGCTGGGGTGGGGTCGTGCTGGGGTGTGGTCGTGCTGTGGTCGTGCTGGGGTGTGGTCGTGCTGGGGTGTGGTCGTGCTGGGGTGGGTCGTGCTGGGGTGTGGTCGTGCTGGGGTGTGGTCGTGCTGGGGTGTGGTGCTAGGGTGGGGTAGTGCTGGGGTGGGGTCGTGCTGGGGTGTGGTCGTGCTGGGGTGTGGTCGTGCTGGGGTGTGGTCGTGCTGGGGCGTGGTCGTGCTGGGGTGGGGTCGTACAAAAACAAAGGAATTAGTCGAGACATCATCGAAATTCCTTCGCGCGGGGCGCTTTTCCGCGTCGCGGTCGGCTCTGCAAAACAAGCGTTTCGCTCGAGACATCCTCGGCAAACTCTGCGGAGCAAGCGTTTCGCTCGAGACATCCTCAACACACGAAAAAGTGGCCCGCACCCTGTGATTTATCGATCGGGATTTCAAAAACAAGCGTTTCGCTCGAGACATCCTCAAATTTTAATTCGCCGGCCTCCTTCGACCTCGTTATTTATCAGGGAAAAAATTCGCCGGCCTCCTTCAAGTTGGCACCGGGGGACAGGTTTACCCACTAAAAGAGAACCCTGGGCTCATGCCCTTTCCGGGAAAAAGCCTCATAGCCCCAAGAAGGCCTCCGATGCTCCAAAATGGCCTCCCACATGGCTCAATACGTTCCTCCCCCTGCTTTCGTTGACCGCTCTGCTTCACTATATGCGTCTCTGCTTCCCATTTCCCGTCGGCTCTCGTGGGCAGGGTGTTTGAATGGGCTGGCGGGAATTCGCGAAGCGCAGACAAGACGTCTCCCTCCCAACTGGCCGTCTGCACACCAGCATCCCGCGGAGGCCAAACGAGGAACACAACAGACACGGACGACAAGAGGCCTTGCCGTGAGAGATCCAGGGGCACACCAGCTGTCCACCCTCGACCTGCCTCGGTCCTCGTGCGCCCAGAGGCTGGTTTAAAACAGGGCTAGGATCGGGGTAAATCGCTACAGAGCGTTCCGGAGCGCTCTCAGAGCGTTCCGGAACGCTCTGGAGCGGCCGCGGCGCCCAATACATCCTCCAAACCCGCCGATTCTCAGAGATTTCGAGTTATCCCGATCCGATTTTGTCCCGATCTTCGCGTCGTTTTACGGTTGGGTCCCAAAGGCCTTCGGGCTTCGAAAGGTCTCCGCATGGGCGCCTGCTGGCGGCGCTGCTTCTTCTGCTTTCAAGCGCCTGCTGTGCTCAGTGCGGCGGGCTGCTGTTCCTTCCGTGCATGAGCCGGACGCTGGGAGCACTTGCGGCCACGCGCGCACTCGGCTCTCGGCCAGGCCGGCCAGGCCACTTGAGCGACGAGGGGGAAAGGGGTCCTGCGTAGGAGGCCCCACTCTTATGATCAAGGCAGTGAGCCTGGGCATCGTTGCTGGATGAGCAGGTGGGGATACGCCAGGCGTCAAGACGTGCACCCTGTACTGAACCCATGATACTCTTTGCACCGCATGTAGTGCACATCGAGGGGGCAAGAGCATACTGTGCGAGGACCACGCTGGCTAACATTACACAGACTATCGTCGATAAGTGCCTTGGCCTCTCGGCAATGGCAGGGGGCGTTGGAGATTATCTGGCGGCATCTTCGACTCGACCCGACTGCACCCTTCTCGGGAGGTATCTTCGCCTTGCCCGATACAAATGACCGGCGCGAACCTGGAATTCATGGATGGAGCAAGACGGGCGGAGGAACAAAAGGGGAAGTTGGATGAGGGCGGAGAATGAGGCAAGTGGGAAGCGATGAGCGAAGGAATAGGGAAAGAAGAGGGGCATGGGCATCCTCCAGGAGAGCCCAGAATCTAATCGACAAGTCGTATCGGTGACCGACATGAAGCGGATCGGCGGAAATCGGAAGCCGAATAGGGAGAAATCGAATCGGCGGAAATCGGCCGGCTCATAGGCCTCCCTTGAGACTTCGGAGAGCAGATCGGAATCCCAAGCCGAATGGAATCGGAATCGGAAGCCATCGAAGTCGAATCAAATCGAACCAGAGGAATCGAAATGAGCCCTGGCCTCCCCATCCTTCTCCGCAAGCTCCCAGGTCCGCGCGGATTTCTCGGATCGGCGCTCGACCCCCCTCCCTGGCTCGCGGAGCGCGCCAGGGACGGCGCCGAAGGCGTCACCAGGGGGTCCAGCGCGGATCCAACAAATCCGTGCGGACCTCCGAGTTTTCATGTTTATGTCACTCTTCGTTCCCCTATTAAGAGGCCTCCCAAATGGTGTCCGAGTAGATGGGGTCGAAGGATCGCGCCGCATCGCCGATACATCGACGATACATTGGCGATGCATCGGCGGCGTCGGCGATGCATCGGCGACAACGGCGTGGAGAAAATCGAGTTCCGCATCGCGCCGCATCGCCGAGGTATCGGCGATGCGGCGTGATCCCCCGACCCCATCTACTCGGACCCCACCCTAGGAGGCCTAGACCATTCGACTGCAGGACGGGCAGGAGGGAATCCCTGGGCCACCAAGCTATCTCGCGGCGAGCGGAAGCAGAGGGGCCCAGGGTGAGGTAGACGAGCGTCTTCTGGATCTCGTTGACGGCCAACTGCACATCCATGTCCAACATCTCGCCCGCGAAGGAGCCTCCCGCCAGGGGGGGGAGGGGGGGGGGGGCAGGAGTCACGAGGCTGGAGAGGGAGAGAGGACACGAGAAGGGGAGGGGAGGAGCACGAGGACCGAGGATCCGAATCTGTGGGCGCCGTTGTTTTCCTCTCTCTCACTTTTTGTTGTTGTGTCCAGAACCCTGCATGACGCTCCACCGCAAGCTTCCGTGATAAGCCCAGTCGACGTCAGAGCCCGCTCGGCAGCCAGATCGAGCCCAGTCGGCGCCCGAACGGGCTCGATTCCACCGAGCCCGCTCGGCTCCCCGCTCGGCGGCCGGACGGGCTCAGGCACGGGACGGGGAAGCCAGAAATGTGAGGCGAATGAGGCGGTGGGGGCGGAGGAGGAAGAGGACGAGAAGCAGGAGGCCGAGCTGGGCAAGCCCGCTCCACGACTTGCAGAGTCACTGCTCGCAGATGGCCTGCATCCGACGCGGGGGATCTGCGGTACATCCCGTCGGAGCAGGCGTGTGTGAAGGGGCCCTGGGACACGCAAATAAATAGACACAGGTCACAGGACTCCCAATCTTGTCCTATATGTTCTGGTGTTCTGTCCTTCCCCCCCCCACACACTGCCCACATTTGCCCATAGTCTCTGGGGGATCGCAGATTACTTGTGCCTGTTTTGATGTGTTCGTTTGTTTCTCTTCCTGCGCGTGTGTTTGTTTTCTGACGTTTGCGAGCAGGCCCTCTGCGAGTCGTGGCGAACGCTCGGTGCTCCGAGCGCGCGTCCGCGCGCCGCCCGGCATGGGGCCGGGCAGATCGGCGGAGCCCTTCGGCAACGAGCCCCGTCGGGCGGCTGCGGCTCGGAGCCACCGGGCGCGGGAGAGCGCGGGGGGATGCCGCTCGCCTGCCGAGGAGGGGAGGGGAGGAGGCAGGGGACGGCGACGGAGGCGAGGGAGGATCCAGGGCTCACAGGCTCGAAGAGGAAGGCTCATGCAACCGGCCTCGGACTCATCCCTGCCCCTGGGATGGGCGAGCAACAAGCGAGGACCATCTGAGGGACCGGCCCTCAGAAACTGGGGGGATCCTCAAGATCGGCATCGAGGTGAGATGATGCCAGACGCAGGGATAGGGATATGCTTCAAACTGGTAATCATGATGCTCTTGCGAGGAATGCAGGAGGTGGGGAGGGGACTGGCGGCACGCCACGCTAAGCAGACGTTCCTGGCAGTAGAAGCTGAGCTCTCGTTGTGTTTTCCCTTTTGGGCCGTCCGTGCCCGAATCCCTTGCTCTTCTGATGAGCGTTTTTTTCCACCACCACCACCACCACCATAAGTTGGAGGGGGGATTCAGGTGGAGGACGAAGAGGAGGAGGAGGACGAAGAGGAGGAGGAGGAGGAGGTGGTGGAGGAGGAGGAGGAGGAGGACCCCCTCGCCCTCCAACATGTGGTGCTGGTGGTGGAAAGCAGGCCCATCATCTTCCCCCGTCTGGACAATCCACTTCGATTTGGCCACTGCTTGTTGATACTATGAACTCCGCAACCGTGCCCCCTGGCACGTGGAGACGTGCTCGAAACGTGTTAGACTGCCAGGTCCTGCAGTGTGTGGCCTTTAAGCTCTAAGAGTGGGCCTCAAATGTAGTAGCAGACAGTTGCGTGCATGCCCAACCCGCCCTTCCACGATGCCATAATACCTTGTAGACACAATGGATCCGCGCTCCCAGACAAGCAACCAACGCAACCAAAGTGGCTCAAGATGACACGAAACGGGTTAAGATGGCCTCAGCGCGGCCCAGTGCGGCCTCGATACGGCCCAAGATGTCTCCAAGAGGGCCCAACATGGCCACAAAAGGACTTCCAACAGGGCCCGGCGAGGCAAAATCATGGATTTCCCGTGGATTGTCGAATGGTGTTTGCATTCTCGCCGTTTCGGGCTTCTATCGATTCAAGACGGCTCACGAAACCTCCGCGATGGCCCCAAGACGGTCCAAGAGGCTCCCAAGATGGTCACAGGACGATCCAAGAGGACCCCACGATGGCCCGCGAGCATCTAGAACGGCCTAAAGACAGACCAACAGAGCATCCCGCAGGACCCAAGACGGCCTGGGACGGCTTTTCGACGACACAAGCCGGCACCAAGACGGCACCAAGGCACACGGGGTCAGATACGACGGCCTTCCTCTTTCTCCTCCTCATCCTGCTCCTCCTTTCCTTGCTCATCACCATCGCGATCGCCATCATCACCATCACACGACCATAATCATCATCATCCTCATCATCTTCATCATCATCATCATCATCATCATCACCATCATCACCGTCACGATCATCATCAGCAACAGCATCATCATCAGCATCATCAGCATCATCATCATCATCATCATCATCACCCCCCGATTCCCATAATCGCAACCATTCCCAAGGAGTCTCTCCCAGGCATGGGAACATGCTTTGTCATACGTGGCGGCCTTTCGTGGCCCTTCGGCAAGTCCCCTCCGGACATGCTGTTGGCACGGTGACGCGATTTGCCGCACGCAACTGGCTAACAATATTTACCAACGTGGGCAACCAACAATGTTGCTCTTGGAATATCTTCTGTGTAACCGGTGTAAAGCACTCTATAGGATGCAATTCACGTGGTGCAGTACATGTGTGGTGCAACCAGCGTGTGGGGCAATCTGTGTGGTGCTGTGCACAATGCGTGTTGCAATGCATGCTGTGACAGGTATGTAGTGTAGCACATGTGGTGCAAACGGTGTGGTGCAAACAATGTGGTGCGCAATCTGTGTGATGTAGCTGGCGTGGTACAACCTATGTTTTGAATATGGGAAACCCCGGCGACAACCCAAAGAACATCCCAGCAACTTGTGACCCACAACCTAAGCACGGTGGCGGTGTGGACCGACGCCCAGTCGGTATGTGGTGCAACGTATGCGGTGCAATCGCCGTGGTGCAAGTTACGGAGTGCCGTATACGTTGCGTAATAGTTGTTGTGCATCCTGTGCGGGGTAATCTATGTGGAGCAGTCCATGTGGTACAATCTATGTGGCGCAACCGATGTGGCGAACCTATGTTGTGAATCTATGTGATGCAGCCGACTTGATGCAATTTGTGTGGTGCAACCTACGTTGCGCGACGTGCGTGGTACAATATATGTGGTGCAATCGGGGGAGTGCTTCCTATGGTTCAGTCGATGTGGTGCGGCCGATGTAGGGCAATATGTGTGGTTCACTCTGCGCAGTGCAAGTAAATTCGGTTCGCAATGAATTATCAGCCCCACTGCTCGCGCAATCATCCGACCCACCCACCCGCAATTTGGCTGGACAAACCCACGTGGTGGCGATTGCGGTGAGTGCGTGGCGCTGGCTGGCGCATCGCTGCGGCCACGCAAGCGCGCGCAGGATCGCGCGCAGAGCGGCCAGCTAGCTGGTGCGACCGACGCGGCCGCGGTGGCGCAAATTGCTGGGGACTCCCAAGCGCGTCTGGCAGGCCGCGCTGACGCGCGGGCACTCTAGTGCGAATCGGTGACTCGGGCGGGCGCGGTATCGTGGCGACGTGGACAACGGCAGACACGATGATGATGATGATGATGATGATGATGATGATGATGATGATGATGATGATGATGATGATGATGATGATGATGATGATGATGATGATGATGATAGTAACGATGCTGGCGAGGACGGTGGCGATGACGACGGCCAGGCCAAAGTCGGCGCCGACGCTGGCCACGCCGATGCCGATGAAGGTGGTGGACGGACTTCGACGTGCGCGCGCGGCCGACGGGCGCGAGCGGCCTAAATGGTATCCTTTGGCAGGGATCGTACCCTCCCCGGGAAGCGCGCAAACACGCGTTCGAATAATCTTTACGCGCGCACGCAAAAAGGCCCGCTTAGTCGCACCTGATGAAACAATTGAACCGACCAATTGCGGTTCCCTCTTTGAAACATGGGTGCCCCTTCTTTTCGGGAAGAGAAGATCGGAGCGGAGACCGAACGATCCGCTGCCCCTCGATGAAGCTATCTTCGCAAAGGAGGTCCTCAATAACTGCTGGTCGGGCTGACGTCACCACCATCGCTGCCCCTGAAGGGGGCGATCAAAGCAACGGAAATGCTCTATAGTATTCGGCCAGGTGAACGTCACCACATTCGGGGGGGGAGCAGGGGAAGAAGAGGAGAGGTGGATGGAGGCAGAGGGGCAATCCAAAACACCTGGAGCAGCGAAAGCCAACCTGTTACCAGCCTCGAGCGTATCCCTATCCCTAAGATCGACACGCCAAAGGCGATGACAATCTTAGGGATTCGCCTTCAAAAAATAAGGGAATCCCTAAGATTGGCATCGTGATGAGGAGGTGCCCAGCATAGGGATAGGGATATGTTCCCGGCTGGTAAACCTGACACAGGCGAGCCGCTGCGCGCAACTGGGGGTTCGGGGCACTGGCAAAACTGCCTGATGATACAGCTATCTGGGCCCAGGCTCCGCGAACGACTACGTAAATTTAAAATCCCAACTGGCACGATGGAAAGAAGAGAAGGAATGCAAAGAGGAGGAAGAAGAGGAGGAGGAGGAGAAGGAGAAAGAAGAGGAATGAGACAAGACAACCAACACCAACATGTACAGCATACCCTGGACTCGCACCAGTGCAAAAACGGGCTGGCGCGGGGCTCAAATGCGAGACCAGCGGCGGCGCGCAGAGACTGCAACTAAATCCAAACGATCGCCCTGAACGCCCACAATCGGCTAAGAAGCGCTGCGCTGTGAGCGGGCAGGACGCGTAGTCAAAGAGTGCAGCACACTTTAGTTTTTAGATGTGCCCGGGTAACTCGGGCTTGAAATCCTCACGAAACCAAGGGTGTTGGAGGCACTTCGGCATGCGCGCGGGGCGCCGGGCGCGTGATGTTTTTTGATAAGCGAGTGCGCGCTTCTAGTTTTAGGTCGGGCATGTCCTCCTACAGGCGGGCTTTGGAAGACAAATAAAACATAGTCAAACATAACTAAACATAGACAAACGAGCCCAGAACATTATCCACATACTATGTTTGACTTTTCTCGAATTTTCCTCCTGTAGAGGGACCTGCCCGAGTCAAATACAATAACTTGACAGGGATGCAGGGTGCGGGGTCGATGCCCGCCCTACCTGGGACTGTACGAAGTCAGGCTTACAAAGGAACGATGGGGCAGAATCAGATACACAGTGAGCTATCCCAAGGAGGCCCCGCCGATTTAGGAGCCCACATGCGAACCCTACCCCACCGCCCCACGATTTCTAAGGGGGGAATTGGGGCTCACTTCGCTCGGGAGGTTCCGAACGAAGTGAACGCCACCTCCCCCCTTAGAAATCGTGGGGTGGTGGGGTAGGGTTCGCACGTGGGCTCCGACTGCGCCTGGGGGGGGGGTCGATCCCCTCAACTTCTTGTCAGTAAGAAGACCCCAACGGCGGCGACGAGGCGACGGCGGCGACGGAGCGGCAACGGCGGCAACATAACCCCAGGAAGCATTTAAGAACCCCCCCCTCCCTCCGGCAAATCAATAACCCTTCCGCACCATCATCCATATCCGCATCATCATCATCATCGTGTCCGGGTGCTACAGCTATCGTTCGGTTATTTCGGCCCTTCGGAATATCGAATAAAAAATGCGGTGCTACGATATCGCGGGGGGGTTTCTTAAATGCTTCCTGGGGTTAGTCGCCAGACCGACGCTTGTTACGTCGCAGCGCCGCACGTGCAGTCCGCACGCGCGCCCAGGCAGCTCGGAAAGCCAGACCGACGCACAGTCCCCGACGACGGGCCGGCGACGGGGCGGCGACGGCAGCAGCATGGCCGGCAGACCGGCGCAGAGGCCCAGACCATGGCCAGCGAGGAGGCGGCGACGAGGCGGCGACGGCGGCGACGGCGGGCGCCAGACCGACGCACAGATTTTGTACTTAAAATACATAATCTATATTTTCAGTACAAAACATAAAATTAGCAACTTTTGTTTTTTAGCACAAAAAAATAAAAAGCAAACAACGGATTCCAAAAATGAATCCGTGTTTTCTCTTCACAAAAAAAATATTAATATTAATACTGCGCAAGCCACGCAGAGGCAGGACTCCCCGAAGGCGCGGACGCTGCTTGGGGAAGGATGGGAACAGCCAAAGAAGAGAACATCGGAAGCAAACCCTCTGGACTCCCCCCCCCCCGAGGGGCACGCACGGATCAGCCACGAGACTATCCGCGGGACAGCTCACTGGACACCCGCGCGTGCCCCCGCGAGACGACCGCGCTCCTTGTTTTTGCTTTGTTATTTTTCCAGCGCACGTTTGGAGGGGGAAGAAGGAGCTCACCATCATCATCATCAACATCATCATCATCATCATCATCATCATCATCAGAAGCAGCAGCAACATCATCATCATCCTCCTCATCATCATCATCATCACCATCATCAACGTCATCATCATAAGCATCATGCTCATCATCATCATCATCATCACCATCATCATCATAATCATCATCACACTCATCATCATAATCGTCCTCATTATCATCGTCATCAGCACGGTCATCCGCATCAGCATCTGTATCAGCATCATCACCAACAACAGCAGCATCAGCATCATCAACATCATCAACACCACCATCAGCATCAGCATCCATCTTATCACCATCAGCTGCATCAGCATCAGCATCAGCATCGGCATCGGCATCAGCATCAACATCATCATCATCATCATCATCGTCATCATCGTCATCGTCATCGTCATCGTCATCACCATCATCACCATCATCATCATCATCATCATCATCATCATCATCATCATCATGATCATAATCATCATCATCATCATCATCATCATCATCATCATCGTCATCGTCATCAACATCAACATCACCATCATCATCGGCGCGGGCAATGACCAGGACTTGGCGTCTCGCTGAAGCGATCCCGAGGAGTGCACTGCTGCAAGAGCCTCTCTCGAGATGGCGGCGGGCAGCCACTGCGCCATGGAAGCCACGAGCGCGGCAGCTGCCTGGCCACCACCGCGGCTCCTCGATCTCCTTGCGGGTTCAAAACGGCACCGTGAAACGTAAAGTCATAAATCGGGGAGACGCAAGACTCGGGTAAGGAGGACTCGGGTTGGCCTGACGGGGCCATCATAAAAATGACGAGACCCAATCTGAAATTTGACGCGGGCTCCCGCTGCAAACATCCCACGAAAACGGGACCGTCAAAATCCAGGACGCGCTCGTCAGAAAACGTCGGCACACCCGGGTTCCAGCTTACTCGAGTCTTACGCTTCCCCGAATAAAGTGCGGGCGCGGCCGCAAGAAACCCTCGCAGTGCACCCCGAACGCAGCAGCTCCTCCAACGGCTGCGGGAAGTCACCGCGCAGCGCGACGGAGTCAAGAAACCCAGGATACCCTGACGAAAAGCATATGGTTTCTTGATACGCGCCCCTGCTGTGGTGCTACCACAAGGGGCGCTGGATAAAGAACGAAGGAGTTTTTTCCGGCCACGGCAAACCTCGGCCACAAATCGTTCCCCTTGCCCCCAGTCTAGGCAGCAGCCTGGCCACCAGGGCCCCCTCCTGACCCCACAGCGGCACCAGTGCCAGCGCACTGCCTGCACTTTTTGTCAGAGGTCCACGCGGAGTCCGTGGGTGGGCACGAAGCACCCCCATCCCACTGGCGCGCGGAGCGCGCAAAGGGACGCGCCAGAGGCGCTGCCAAGGGGGGTCTCGAAAAATCCGTGCGGATCCCGACAGTGTCTGTTTACGTTGTTGTCTGTGTGTTCGGACGCTGACGTGCTGGAAACTTGCACGGCGCGGACCCCCCTCCCCTCCCATGGCGGTCATGGCCATCATGGGCACAGTCAGGAACTGGAGCAGCGCGAAGGTCCATCCCATCCTGAGCCGAAGCCGCAAACGTTGTACTCGAGACTCCCTCGAGTGCCCTCACGCTCGATTGGCTGGAAATCCTGCCCACAATGCGCACCATGTGACTGCCACTGTGAAACTCCAGATTTTCGAGCGGCGAGGTATCAGAGGGAGGAGAATGGGATGAGAAGGAGGAGGATGAGGAGGAGGGAGAGGAGGCGGACGAATCAAGGATGGAGACGAGCAGTCGGACGATGCAACCGACGATCCCTGCAGTTGATCAATCAAGGGATCTGATGACATCGACCCCGCATGCACTGCGGAAGGACGCGCACTCCTGCCTGAAGCCTTGCACCGAACGAGATGTCATTCCTGGCTGTGGCCTGAGGGTAGCACACCCTTGTAACATTTACGTGTCGTTTGGGGGGCAGCCCAGTCTGAACACGGCACAAAAACCAAGAAAGGGATGGAGGAACAATCCGGCATCGCCAGCTGCGCCTTCGGAGGATTGCGCTGCCAGCAGCGCCACCCACCTGTTCCACCCCTGGCGTTAGGCTGGATTGGCTTGACTCCTCAGGCTCTCGTCGCTCTGCAAATGCTGCTGAAGATCGCTTCTCGGCTGCCCCGATTGCTGCTCCGGCTCTGTCGGTTGCGACTCGTGCGCCAGGCAGTCTGGGAGCGCGCACGGCCGCTCCCTATCTGCTCACTGCCCTGCGCCGGCCGCCTGCCGGCTCGAATCCAGAAGCAAGCCGCGCGGTGGGCCGTGCACTGAAGCGAGCCCGAGGAAGCGGGTGGTCGGCGGCGGCTGCACCAGCACCAGGACACCCGCGGACATCCTCTCCGCACGGCCATCAAGGCCCCCTACTCGTCCCATCCCGCACGGGCATCCCAGCAATCCCGCACGGCCATCCCTTCTCGTGCTGCCCGTCGTCCTGGCGTCGCCCCCCTCCTCCTCCTCCTCCTCCTCCTCCTCCTCCTTCTCTTCCTCCTCCTCCTCTCCTCCTCCTCCTCCTCCTCCTCCTCCCCCTCCCTCCTCCTCCCTCCTCCTCCCTCCTCCTCCTCCTCCTCCTCCTCCTCCTCCTCCTCCTCCTCCCTCCTCCTCCTCCTCCTCCTCCTCCTCCTCCTCCTCCTCCTCCTCCTCCTCCTCCTCCTCCTCCTCCTCTCCTCCTCCCCCTCCCCCTCCTCCTCCTCCTCACCCTCCCCCTCCTCCTCCTCCTCCTCCTCCCTCCTCCTCCTCCTCCTCACCTGCCCCTCCTTTTCCCCCCCCCTCCTCCTCCTCCTCCTCCTCCTCCTCCTCCTCCTCCTCCTCCTCTCCTCCTCCCCCCCCTCCTTTTCCCCCTCCTCCTCCTCCTCCTCCTCCTCCTCCTTCTCCTCCTCCTCCTCCTCCTCCTCCTCCTCCTCCTCCTCCTGCTCCTCCTCTCCGCCTAGAGCAAGCCTCGATCCTCCTGCCCCTCCCCCCACGCGAGCCCCCCGCCAGGTGAGGAACTCGAAGTAGAGCCGCACCCCGGTCCCAAACTGGCCCAGGCTGGCAACGGGCGTCGTCCTCGCGGGCCACAGGGCGAGGATCCGTTCCCCCTCCCTCCTCCAGAAGCCTCCTCCTGCTGCTCGATAGGAGGGCAGAAAATCCACCCCGATAATAACCACCCCGACACGCGGAGCCCTTTCGTAAACGCACTCAAATCAGGAATCCAAGTCCGCCGGCCCCCTTGTGGGGCCACCAGGCTGTAGGCCGAAGGTTCGCAGTTTCCTGTCCCAGTTGCAGCTTCCAGTTTCCACTGTTGCAGTTCTGCTTATTGCTGCTTACTGCTCCTTGTTGGCATCTTGCTGCTTACTGTTCCTTGTTGATGGGCCGCGCGAGGGGAGGAGGCCCAAAACGGGCATGCTTACCACGCCCTGAGTGTATGCTCTGAATTGCTGGGGTGGACAAAAATTCACACCCCTCACGCAGATCGGCGGGGTCAGGGTCCAAAAAACACAAGGGATTTGCCACATTTCTGACATTCGGTGGCACCCCTCACGCAGATCGGCGGGGTCTGGGTCCAAAAACAAATTGGACTTGTCACATTTCTGACATCCGGTGGCACCCCTCACGCAGATCGGCGGGGTCAGGGTCCAAAAAACACAAGGGATTTGCCACATTTCTGACATTCGGTGGCACCCCTCACGCAGATCGGCGGGGTCTGGGTCCAAAAACAAATTGGACTTGTCACATTTCTGACATCCGGTGGCACCCCTCACGCAGATCGGCGGGGTCAGGGTCCAAAAAACACAAGGGATTTGCCACATTTCTGACATTCGGTGGCACCCCTCACGCAGATCGGCGGGGTCTGGGTCCAAAAACAAATTGGACTTGTCACATTTCTGACATCCGGTGGCACCCCTCACGCAGATCGGCGGGGTCAGGGTCCAAAAAACACAAGGGATTTGCCACATTTCTGACATTCGGTGGCACCCCTCACATAGATCGGTCAGGGTCGAAAAAAACACAAGGGATTTGCCACATTTCTGAAATTCAGCGGCAGCCCCCTCACGCGGATCCGCAAGCTCAGGATCCAAAAACGCAAAGGATTTGCCACATGTTTGAAATTCCGCGGCACCCGTGACGCAGATCCGTAAGGTCAGGGTCCAAAAACACAAGGGATTTGCCACAATTCTGAAATTCGGTGGCACCCGTGACGCAGATCCGTAGGGTCAGGGTCGAAAAACACACAGGTCCCGACACTGCTTCACGGCGGCGCCCAGACCTCATGACTTAGCTTTCGCATCCCCCAGTATAACCGAGACAGGGGGCCGGCGGCACTGGGCGAAGCCCTTACGGATAGGGAATCGAACAGAGCAGGGCTGTCTGGTAAACGCCCAGGGCCGCTGAGTAAACGCCAATTGTCGGTTCCGGGTGGTTTATCCTCTCTTGGCTCGAAGCGGTCCCCGCCGGAGAACGCGAGGCGGCATCCCCAGGGGGCCTGGCAGCCGCGGTGCGCAGCGGTCTGGGCCTAGATGGGGTCCGCGCAGACGGGCTCGGAGGATCGCGCCGCATCGTCGATGCATCGGCGCTGCGGCTCGATGTGGAGCCCGAGGTTCTCCACCCACCGTGGCGTCGCCGATGCACCGCCGATGCATCGGCGGTGCGGTGGTCGCTCGAAATGGCCACTCGTCGGAGACGCCGGGCGGGATGCCAGGGGAGCAGTGGGGCCTCCTTTGGGACCGGCGGCCGTGCCCCTGAACACAGCAAGCACGGCCTGCACGGCGGGGGAAGACGAGCCAGGGTTCTGCTGACGTCGGAGCCACCGGAGGCCGCGTTGGGGCCCCGGGGCCGTCCACACGACCAGGGCAAAAACAAGCGGCCTGAAGAGAAGGTCGGGGCCTCGGGCGGGGCTACGTTGAACAAGTGCAGGCAGCGGCTCTCTGGGTGCCCCAGCCACGCCCGCGTCCGTCCCTCCACCTCCCTGGCTCTCCCCCCTATCGCACACACTCATCGTAGGCAAGCTGAGGCTCTGTGGTTGAATCCCCCCATTGGTGGGGGAACATTTGAGAAAAGAGCAATGTTGAGCAATGTTGGTCCTTCCTTTCTCCCCCTCATCCTGCCCTCTTACTCTCTCTTCCCTCCTCCCAAATCTGCAACCACCTACCTCCTCCCTCTGTCTCATACCTCGCCTCCTGCACGATGTTGACAGCGCCACTGCCCGCACTCGTCGGCTCGAACTGAGCAGTTCCAACTGAGCCCACGCGCCCACGCGCCCATGAGCGCTGCGGGGATCCAGTGCGGATGCCGACAGAAAGTGCTGTCAGGTATCGTCGTTGGCGTCGTGGTACTAAAATAACGACCGAGTGAGCGCGTCTTGAACCAACTGAACCACATTGAGGTTGGTAGGTTTGCCTTTTTGCGGCGGTTGGCGCAGGCATCGGGTGCAGGTCGAGCCTATGTTGCTGTAGGTGCGAGATGTCGTCATCCCAGCTTTTTCGTGGTCCGCCTGACTGGGGTTGTCCGTACCGTCGTGGGTTATCTCCAGGATGACATTATTGTGTTCTCCACGTCCACCTTGTGTGCTCGCGTTTGGCAGTCCCTGTGGCCACAGCCATGCACCAACTCCCTGTGGATTGCCGCCCAACTGGTGACCTCGCGGTGCTTCATAAGACGCTCTGCGCGCCGCGTAGCCCGTTGACCGTAGTCGTCCCGACGCTTCATACCCATCTCCGTCTCCACATTGGCGGCATCGTCGACACAAAAGATGTGTGTTGTCCGGAGTTGCAGCTGTGTCGTGTGGTGGCGGGTTGCTGTCGTCGTCGTCGCCGTCTCGTCGTCGTCGTCGTCGTCGCTGGTGCTGTCAACACACAGGTCGTTGCCCACTATTTTGTCGCTCGTGCCGTCGGCATCCTTGGTCTCCTGGCTGCAGGGAAACCCGTTTGGCGGATGGTACGTCGTGGGGCCCTGATTATCATGCGGAACATGCGCCGCTGTATTCTCCACAAATCTTGCCGTAGAGGTTCCGTGAAGTGCTGTCGGTGCTGAAATGCTGTTGTGAAGCCAGAGACGGTGCGACAGTAAATCATGATTACTGGTCAGCTTCTGACTTGCGTGCGTTGAGCGACGCCTGTGCTTACGGTGGTGGCCTCCCGTCTCCATTGCGTCTTGACAACTAAATTAATTGACCGACGGATGTGACACTGCCCTCGCGCGGAAGGCTGTAGATATCCAAGCTCTGGGCGCGCCCCGAGCGTGAGCTCGCAGTGACACTCCGTCTCGCCCAAATGCATTTTTTGTTGGAACGGTGCAACTCTAATCCGTGTAGTTGTGCTGCAAGCGCGATGTCGTGGGGCGAGGGAGTGTGGCTGGTCAGGAGCACGTCGTCGGCGAAACGAAGATTGATGAGCGCCATGGTTGCGGTGAATCCCAGTTGGACTCCCTTGCCCTTGATTTGCCACTCGACGGTTAGCGAGAAAAGAATGTGCTCTAGAAAGCGTTGAAAAGGAGGGGGCTGGTGCCCTTGTTTGGTGCCCCGTGAGAGGCTGGAAGCGGGCTGGCCGCGTGTCAGTCCTGACTGTGGCTGCATGGCGGTAATTTTGTAGAATCGTGAGATTATCAAGTTTGGGAAGAGCCGTCACAACAGTGGTCTTGCATTTGCAGTCTCTGGCCGCGCCTGCGCCTAACGCCGTCCTTGTCTGTCACGCGTGCGATGAGCGTCGCCTTGCAGGCCCTCGCGCTTCCAGACGGGCTCGGCTCGCCTCGGGTCCGTGCTTGTGCGGTGCCCCCGCCCCGCCGCTGCCACCGCAACTGCGGGACTTCCTCCTCGTCCTCCTTTCCTTGCCCGCCTTCCTGCTCACCCCCCTCCCCTGGCCTTCAGCGGGCCCCGGAAACGGCGGGGCAATTTCTTCACCGTGTCCGAACATGTGCAGGAACATGGGAGCGGCAAAACCTCGGCGACCCGAAACTGCCAAAAAGTGGGACACCAAGATTGGAGCCGGAGCGAGAACGGGCGAAACCACGGCGACGGAACCGGCAACAAAAACGGCGTCGGAACCGGCAACGATGACGGGCAAAACGGAGCCGTCAACAGAAACGGCCCTGTGGCTTCCAGGGCGCATGGAGTCCCCAGCCGCCACGGCGCCGCCGCCCCGCAGCTCTTGCTCGCCGCCGCCGCGCCCCTGCTGCCCCTCGAGGACGCCCGGAGGCGCCGGCCACCAGCGCAGACGCGAGCGCGTATGGCATCGCACGTCAAGCTGAAGAACATACTGCGGGATGACGATTAATAAAACATGGGAACGAACGAAGCGCCGTGCACGTCAGGGGTGCGTTGGCAAATAAGTGACACAGCAAGTTCCGCTGCCGGAGGCGCGGCTGCGAATCAAGAAGACGCCGCGCAGACACCGACAGCGACGACGGCGGCGGCGACGAAGGGGGGGAGGACGATTAACAAAAAATAGTTGTCTGCTATTTCTGCCTAACTTTCTGACTGGAAGAGAGCGATTAAAAAGAATAGTTTTCCAGCTAGCGGCCGGTTTTTGATAATCGTCATCCAGGGCGCCGCCGCGTGAACACGACCCCCGGTCATTTATCAATCGTCATCCTCCATTATGTGAAGCATTTTGATTGAGGCACTCCACGGGCGCTCGCACTGCTTCCCCTTGCCCGGCGCCTCGCGCCTGCTGACGCGGTCTGCTTGGCCTGCGCTCCAGCCCCCCCGGACGCCGTCCCCGTCGCCCGCTGGCCGCACTGGCTGCTCACGGCGGAAGCCTTCCGCCTCTGAGTGCTCGCCCTCCCCCCCCAACCCGCGACCGCCCTGTCCTTCTTCCTCTCTCCTCCTGCATGCCGGCCAATCCGCGTCTTGGTACCCCTGCCTCGCTGCCCCGCTGGAGCGGATTGCCCCGCCTCGCCGCCGACGAAAACAACGTGTGATGAGAGTTCGCTTCTGCGTGCTTCGGTGCGCGTGTCTTCCGCTTCTGTGCACGGGTCTCCTGCTGCTTCGGTGCCGCGTGTCTTCTGATGAGAGCTGCTTGTCTTCTGATGAGAGCTGCGTGTCTTCTGATGAGAGTTTCGCTTCTGCGTGC